AACAAATAAACACAATACCTTAAAGTGGGAACCTTCCAAAACAGTTAAACCTTAAAATTATAATTATCCCATCAACTACTAATTAGAATACTAATTTCCAAAACTTTTCAAGTGATAATGACATGATTAATAAACTTTATTGAATGTCCTACATCAATTAAAGACAATGACAATTGATAATATATTAACCTAAATCTTATGTTATAAGTCAATTTGTTAAATTTTAATAAGACTTAAATATATTTTTTATCATTATATTAAAGTGGTAGGTTAAAGTTTATCCAATCAAATTTATTATTTATTAAATGTATTGTTTAATTCAATATTCAATTGTTATCATACCACTTATTAATTATTAGTTCTATACTCAACATAAGAAAATATATTAAAAATCTCAAATTAATAAAAAATAATAAGATCAATCCACAAAATATATAAAAGGGTTAAATAAATTTTTATTCCCTATACTATCAAGCGGTTTTGGTTTTAGTCCCTCTTTCAAAGTAAGGTACATTTTAGTCCTTCTCCTTAAAGAAACTTTAATTTTTGTCCTCCAAAACTAACACCGTTAAAAACCAGCTGATGTGGCTAACGGTGTTGTGACATATCATGAATCTTTCCCGTCGTCAATGCCGAACTGCCAACACAATGTCGCGCCGGCCAACCACCATGTCGTCGCCATCCTCCATCACACACCTCCACCATCAACATCCAGACGCGAGCAACCTCATCACGCCACCACCCAACGCGAGCAGTGTCATTACGAGTTCAATCTCTCCTCCACCACTCTCCCTTCATCATCGCGAGGCCGCCATCATCTTCCAAGAAAACACAGCAGTTCAAACCCCAGAAAACCCAGATCCTCAAATCAGAAAACACAGCAACCCAAAAAAACCCCAAATCAAACCTAGAAACTCAAAAAATTTCTTCTTAATTTCGTTTTGGATTCCCTTCTTTATTAGCAGCAAAAATCAAATCATGACCCAAATCAACAAAATCCAAAATTGTTGCAGCATCAACTGATCCTCCAAAACCTATTAAATCCAAAATAGGTGCATAAGTAATTGGCGAAGACAACATCTTTGGGAACAGGGGCGTTGGGAAAAATGGTTGTGTTTTGGGGAGGAGTAGGGACAGGTTTGGGATGATCATCGATCTCGACAAAGACGATGTCAGTGGCGGAGACAGAAGCTGTCGTGGTGGCGGAGGAAGGAGGGGAACTCACCGGAGGCGCCGTTCGGCCTGGCGATGAATTGGTGAATGATTTTGATTACTGCTTTCTTAGTTGATGAACTGACTGCGTGCTATTTTTCTTTGTTTTGCAGAATCAATCATGGCGGATGACGGTGTTGCCAACGACGGCATAGATGATCAGTACGGTGAGGAATCGACGACGAAGATCAAAGTGTTGCAACGCGAACGCGATGAATTGGTGAACGAGAATGCCACAAGGAAGGAGGAGATCAAGAAGCTGACGGCGAAGCTCGACATTTTGTGAAGAGACGACGCGATGAATAGCGAGAAGATCGAGGAGATGCAGCGAGAGGTGGCGCAGTCGCGCCGCGACGCGGCGAAGGCGGCCGAGGTTATCGCGGTGAGGGCAGCAAACCTGGAGACGGATGTGGCGAGGCTACAGCACGATTTGATATCGGAGATGGTTGCGACGGAGGAGGCGAGGGCAGATGCTTCTGAATTAAGGAAGAATTTAGGGGAGAAGAGTCGTTGGTTGAGTCTCTGGAGAAGGAACTGACGTCTTTAAAAAAGGTGAAGGCAAAGGGTGAGGTTAGGATTAGGGATTTGGAGAGGAAGATTGGAGTTCTGGAAACCAAGGAAATTGAGGAAAGGAACAAGAGGATTAGGTTCGAGGAGGAGGAGATGCGGCGGTCGGTACGGATCGAAGAAGGAGACGCTGACATTGGCGACACCCCCGATGGCTCCATATGCCACCCCCGACGAATCTGGTTGGAGTGGACCGTGATGGTGCCTCTATCATTCCTGATGAGCGTTGTAGAGATTGAAAAAGGAAGGGAAACTCCGGCGGCTTCCCCGCGGCGGTAACAAGCATCAATCACACACACGTGGCAAAAGTTAAGAAGGAAAACTGTGACCACACGTGGCCAAACGTTAGCCACATCAACTTGTTTTTAACGCTATTAGTTTTGGAGGACCAAAAATTAAGGTTTCCTTAAGAGGAGGACTAAAATGTACGTTACTTTGAAAGAGGGACTAAAACCAAATTCGTTCGATAGTTTAGGGACTAAAAACATATTTAACCTTATATAAAATAATAACTTAATCTTACAAACGACTAATTTGATAAAATTAAATTAAACTTAAAATTAACTTTTAATATAATTAACTTAAATTAGCTTAAAAAATACATAACTATAGCATCTTTTTAACTAAGAGAGTGCATAATTTATGAGTTCAAAAGTAACGTTTTTAAAAAATTTATATTTACAAAATTATATGTATTTTACTTTTATAAATTATATTTTTATATATAGATATACAAACTCACAAATCTTTAAACAAAAACAAAAGCAAATCATTATGCGAATCATTACACAAATTATGATTTATAATTTTTTTTAGGAATCATAAGTTGGACATCAGAATAAAAGTCAAAAGGTAATATTCCAATATTATTAAAATATCAGTTTGTTATTGTATTAAATAATTTAATAAAAGTAACATGGCTACAATTTTAATTTAAAGCGGAAAAGTTAGTATTCCACTCTTTCTCCATGCAATCCTTTTATGAAAACTTCCTGAAAAAACAATTTTTCAAAACATTATTTCTTGGAAAAATTGTTTCCCTAAATATTATTTTCTTAAAATAAACCAAATATAAGTAAAAGAGCATAATTTCCCAAGTAACTAAAATATGATATTTTCTTTAAACACATTATAACTTAAGTATATACTCGCTCTTAATTGATTTATTTAATTTTTTACTTTATTTAGCTTCTTTCTTTAATTTCAAGGAAGTTGTTAATGTATAACTTTTTTGATATATATATACATGGGTTTGCTAAGGCGCGTACGCCTGTTTTTTAGTTGGATCATGAATTCTAAGTTTTAAGGTTAAGGGTATTTTAATAATTTTGATTCTCAAAACTAAAAAAAAATCCAAACCCTTGTTCACCTTCTTCGTTCTTCTCAACCCTTTCTCTTTCATCTCTCTCGTTCCAACATTTTCTCTGTTGTCATCCTATGGTAGTCCCAACCGAAAAAAATCAGAAACACTAGCTGTTAAACAATCTTACATGATTTTATAATGAGTTTTCATTTTATAATTTTTGTCTTATCTAATTTTATCCAATTTAAAAATGAGAAATACTCGCTGCTAAACAATTTCTTACAAAAAATGATTTTATAATGGGTTTTCATTTTATAATTTTGGTTTTATCTAATTTTATCTAATTTTCATAAGCATAATGACATCAAAGGAATTGGTAATTACCTGAAAAAAATCAGAAACCCTCGTTATTAAACAATTTCTTACAAAAAATGATTTTATAATGAGTTTTCATTTTATAATTTTTGTCGTATATAATTTTATCTAATTTTCACAAACAGAATGAACTATGAAAGGATTGGTCTTGGCTTGGAGGGTTTTTCTTAGAGATGATGATTCAACACATGCATATGACGAAATTAGAGAGGTTAGTGAAGATGGTGAAATTGAAGAGATCTTGAATAAACCTTTGCCTCCTGAAGGTGAATATAATTGTTTAATGCCAAGTGTTTCTTATTTTTTCAATTAGGGCTAAAGTAGGAATGACAGAGAAAAGGTTGGAGTGAGAGAGATGAAAGAGAAAATGTTGAGAGGAATGAGAGAAGTCAGTAAGGGTTTGAATTTTTTTTTTAGTTTTGAGAATCAAAATTATTAAGATACCTTAGAATCCCCCTGATATATCTATATAATATATATATATTATATATATATCTATTATATATATATATATATATATATGTAGTGTTGTAAAAACATGTTATTCGGTTCGATTCATCATGGATTGATCACTTAGTGAGTCAATCTAACATTAATATTTAATTAATCAACCTAATCTAAAACACTTATTAAGAAGTCAAAAAAATTCAAATTTTGTTTAGTCCATCACATATTGATAAGTTAAACGGATTGACTCACTGATTTATTTAATTACAATATATTTTAGTTAAAAAGTTATAAAAGTTTTGTAATTTAAATCTAAATAAAATGATGTTAAACTTAAAAAACAGCTCAAAATAAAAAAGAGTAAGGTGTAAATTAAATATAGGTTACAATATAATATAATAAAGATAATATAAAATAATATAATACATTATAGTATGATATAAGATAATATAATATAACATAATAATTCATATTTATTGGTAGTGATTGATAATTGTTTATACATGTTACAAGATAAAATATTTTCATAATATTGAGAATTTTAAGTTTTATAATAACTAAATTTTGGTTTGTTGGTGAAAGGTTTTCCTAAAAATTTTATCATAAGCATATTTATTAACACCTTTAATGATTTTACATTACCATGATTATTTTTAATAAAATTTCCATATATTTAGTTTTCCCACCCTTTTTTTATAGGATTTTTTTTTTGGTGGGAAACACCACTAAGATCATTCTTGGAAAATCTTGGTTGGTGATGATGTTATTTTTAAAAAGTTTCCATCATTAAAACTATACCTAGTACTATGAGGAAAATGAATCCAAGTTACTGTGGCTTATAATCTACTCTTTTCCATCCTAGCTAATTTGATATCCTCTTTCTGCTCGTTGCTTCATCTCAGGTAACTGCTTTGTTTATATTTGTTTCCAGTAAAAGGACCATTCAATTCTAAAATCCATGGTAAGAAATATTGAACTTAGGAGTTTTGGATTTGAAAATTATACTTCTTTTTTATCTTGTAATATTGCAAATGCAGATTTGATTATTGATTTTATTGAAAATTCAAACTAGAAATTGAAAAGAAAAAGTATGTCAATGAGCAGAAACATGAACCAGTCACAACCGAATCTGCGGGTTCCCAGAACAGTAACCACCAATGATATTCAATGGGTATGCCACTCTTTTTGATGTTTTAACTATGTATATCAAATGTTAACAGATGCCATTGTTCATTTTTTATTTCTTTTTTAGGCCTATTTTTGGATAATTGTCTTATATTTTCGGCTTCATAGCATCATCGCGTTTAATTTTAATGGCATGTTATGTCACATGATGCAGTATCTTGATGAGAACAAGAGGCTGATTATGGCAATATTTGAAAACATGAAACTCAGGAAATTTGATAACTGTGCCCAAAGTGATCGACCTCTTACTAATGATTTTAGTTTCATCCTATATTGTTTTAAAGAATTACCTGTTGTGAGACATTGCTGATCTTAGTATTTGTATTGTTCGTTGGATTTAACCCTCTTGGTGTGTTAATTCAAGCTTCTTGTAACAATGAAACCGACAAGTTTTTTCTGCTGAAGTTTTAGTTGCTTTTCTAATATAGTTTTTGACATTGTTTGGCTGTGGATGGTTGAATGTCTTAGTACCAAGAGCAACTTCAAAGAATTTTATGTATTTAGCTGCACTTGCTGACTGGCAACATTCACAATCACAAGTGATGCCTCTACAGGTAAAACATTTACACCAGTATGATAAATTTCCCTTATGACGCGCTCTTAATAACTAGCCTTTGTTTGATTACCTGATTTTGGCACTTGCAGCAAATGAGGATGCAACCAGAATACTGCATGCAACACCCTCAGGTTGCAGCAATTGATGAACAACCAAGAATTTCCCTCGAAATATGGCATTGCAATTTGCTAATCCTCAAGAACAGCTACACCAGCAAGTAGCATTGAGAGGTGGATGCATAGGTAACGGTAGAAATCCAATGTATGGTGAGAGTGGTTTTGGAGGTGGCAAGAATGTTGCCTCAACTTCAACTGCAAGTCCAAATGATGCATGTGAGGGAAGCTTGCAAGCACCTTCTCATGGTGGAGATGGCCAGGGAAACAACTCAGTTCTTCTGCATAATCATAATAATATACTTCATTTCGTCTTCAGAAATAAATACCGATTTATTCTATAATCAAACTTTCATATAGAAAAATCTTTTAAGTTCATTTGATATTATGTTTTCTTTTTCCTTTTTTTTACGATATTAATGTAACATTTTTTTTTTCTGTTTTTTTCGTCAAGTTTTCGAATTTTTTCAGTACCACGATATAACATCCATTTTTTTATTTCTAATTTTTCTCTATACCAAGATTAACCACCCTTTTATTTTCATGTTTTTTATTCTAATTTATTCTTAAAAAGAATCTGTTAATAGTCATGAAATTATTCAAATACCTAATACTCGCAAATGTCCAAAAACCAACACTATTCATTGTAATATATATTAAAAAGAGTAAGATGGAGA